AAAAAAAAAAAAAAAAAAAAAAAAACACATCATAGTAAAACCAATACCTTCTCAGCTTCGCATCGAAGCTAATATGTATGTTATTTTATATAGTATTTTTTAGGGGTGGTATAAAATACACTAAAAAGTAGTTTTTAGTTGTACCTACGATTATGATGCTAGTAATATAGTATTACTCATGATCATATTTTTGACAAACTTACATCAGTATTTTTTCGTTATATAAATTACTAAAAAAAGAAATCTACATCCTTTAAAAACTTTATTTTTCTTTCTGCAATAGGATAAAGACAAATTTTTTAGAAGACTAACAAGTCTTGTAACCAAAACTTTACATATCTTTAAAAAAAAAAAAATGTAATTATTGTCAATAATAAAATTTTTAATAAATTATATTAGTAGTCATAACAAAAATAATTTACAAAAGTAAATAAAAACAACAATATGTTAAGATTAACATTAATACAAAAATTGTTAGGTCATTGAAACTTAAAATTAATATTATTCCATTATAACAAAAATAAAATAGGTAACTATTTAATAAAGTGATGTACAATTGAATTTTCTTTCATTTTATCACTAAGGCAAGATAAGTAAGGCACAACACAATAAGTCTTAAGGTAATACTGGTCAGTGTATATGTTAATATAAGTGCAAAAATATATTTTTTAACTCATTAGTTGCCCTTTCTAAGATATGCATAACACAATTAATATTATTTTATTCATCAAGGGTATGAATCAGTTATCTGACTTCAATTAACAATTGTATAAAATTTTAATGATGATTTTAGTAATGCGGTTAAAAAAAATATTTTCCTTTAAAATGTAAACTCAGATTCTGATTAGTATGTTCTGATAACATGATTAATTTATCGAACAAATTGACCTAAGAAAGTTTTACATTTAGGGCATCGATGTTCCACGTTCATGAATGAGTCTTTACAAAATGGAATTAAACATGGTCCCCAAAAACATCTGAAATTATTAAAAAGTAAATTAAGACATTAAAATTTTTGTTTTATTGAAAGTCATAATTTAAATAAGGAGACATAGAGATAATGTAAACAAAGGTAATATTAATTTATTTTTACATTATATTTCTTCATGTGTCACCTATGAGCACACCATTGTACTAATGATATATACAGGGTGTTAGTAAATTCAATGTAACGAGTAGTAGGATGATATTCAGTAGGACCTAAAAATAGCGAAATTAAAAACTAAAATTTGCTATTTCCAAAAATGGGGTTTTTTAGGTTCCCCACATCAAATTTTATTTTAATCAAAAATAAATATCACTACAGTATTTCCCATAAAAATCTCATACAAATTGAGCGGTCACTCAATATTTTGTAAATTTCGCGCCCTCCTCTGAACTTTGGGTTCAAAGTTGGAAAAAAAAATCACTTTAGTGTGACCTATCAATTTGTATTAAAATTTTATTGGGAGTCCTGTGATGTAGTTTATTTTAAGTTTAAACGATTACATAACGAGAAAAAATGGAAAATCCACAGATAATGTGATATTTTTTAATTTTACGAGTTTATTTCGTCTTATTATCTATTCAAACCAATTATAATTTTTACCATTAAAACTGTTATAAAATTATGATTTTTTTTTCTTTTTAGGTTGGGAAAATAAAACAATCATAAGATTGAAATGAATATTTTAAATTTTATTACAATAGGATAATTAGAAATAATTATTTTGATGTATTCGGCACACTACTTTTTCCAAAAATTAATCACTAATGAGAATATGGTACATCACTTAGCTTGTTAATATTTATTTAAATGTTTGAAAAATACTGTTCACTATTGAATAGTCACTGATTAAGTTGCAAAAAATATTAGATAACTTTAAAAATATAGCTTCTTTTTTTTTTATGCAATACAAATGCATAAATTGTAGTAAAAACAATTAACCTATAATAAACAAAGAACCTGTATTGTAAATTAATATGACACAAAAATAACAAAAGCAAGATTCTCTCATTTTGTTTAAAATTGAAGTTAATTATATATTTTTTTACTAAATACTTAAAATAATGCCTTCAATGATTAGAATATAATATGAAATTTGAATTATTATTTAGATAAATTTTAAGAATTACAAGTCTTTTTAATGAACTCCAAGATTACTGTGTGTTAGGGTGGCTCTATAGAGGTCAATGTTAATGGTCCGTCATCCTAATTTTGTCTACTTACAAAAAAGTAGTTTGCATTATAAATATGCTTCAGTATAAGCTGTACCCACATGCTCTACAATGTATTATTGCATTAAAATGATTGTAAATCAATAAATACTTATCCCAAAATTTTTATTAACCTATAACACATTTTTATAAAGGCTGAAAATTGGCTATTTTAAAATTTTGATAAAATAAAAATAAAAATAATTCATTTTTATTTTTTATTTCATTTAAGACAAATAATACAAAATCTAGATAAAAATATTGACTAAATTATTAATTTATGAATGTTTTTTATAAATGAATGATTGAACCAAATCCTATTGACAAAACAGTCCAACTATAAAAGAAGTAGTACCTCAATTTTTAATTTTTAAATCCTTCAAAATTAAATATTACCCAAATAAACAACACAACCCACTACACTTGTAAGCTGATGCACTTGGTTTGTAAGTTGTATTTGTAGTGATTTCTTGGCGACAATTGTAACAAACCATTCTAGTGCTATGTGGACCCAATGGAACAACAGTTGTTATTAGTTCATGTGGGGCTTTGATAACTATGGAAAACACAACATGGTTATCATAAATTTTTTAATATTATCTTAATTATAAAATGTTACATTCAGGTTGTGGAGTAAAAGGACTTGCTGGTGGTACACTAGCTTGAAGATTCCCTCCAATAGGTGCTGTTGGAACTATACCTGGCGTTATTTGGCCATTCATGATTCTAATTAACTATAAGCACGAAAATTAAATATTAAAAAAATAAAAGTTGAGATGAAAAAAATCACAGTATAGGTATTTCCATTTAGGGTAATAAGGTCATAGCAACATTTATATATACGCCTATGGCATTCAGGCTGTACTATACAAACGAATCAATGATAACTTATTTTAATCATGAAAATTAATATATTTATATATTAATTAAAGTAATTGCATTATATAATTTCAATTGCCTTAATATTTCAAGAAAAGGTAGTAATACCACAGAATAGATTAAACCAGAATGGACACTGATAAAAAAATTACATGTATTCTTATGAGAGTACGGTAATTTTGAGCTTATGTCGCTCAGTGTTACCATAAAAACAATAAAATAAGTAATTGTATGCATATAATTCATTGTACTGTACAATAATTGTACATCGGCGGTTGATTTGAACTCTAAATGTATTATTTACATGCTAATTATTTTAGAAAATTTGCATAGTAAATTTTTTGGATTTATTTTATTATTATTTCTAAACATATAACACTATTTTAAAACTTTCAATTAATGTTTTCATTATGTGTAATTAGTTTGTTTAATATATTTTTTATTTTATGTATATTTAATAAAGACTTATTTAGAAAAAAAAAAAATTATTCAATATCCACATAATATTAAATTTATTTAAAACATATATTACAATAATTTACAAATATCATATACATAAATAATTTATAGATGAGTTAAAATAGACAATTTCCTATTTTTAATTTTTTTCTCAGACATTAAATTTTTATTTAAAAATTTTATAGCTGTAAATATTCTAAATCTTGTAAACAAATTAATTAAATACAATTTATCAAAACATTTACAAGGGTGGTTAAAAGGTACATTACAAAAATAATTTTTTAATTCGGCTCCAACTCCATCTACAATAGCAAGTGTGGAAAAGTTATTAATAAAAATATTTTCTAATTCATTAATACCAATATTTACCATATATTTTTCATATTTACCAATAAACCATGTTTATAAACATTGTGTTTACAAACAAACCATTAATAATGGTGTTGAACAATGTGACCGTATGTAAAGAAAAAAGGGAATACATTTTTTTTTCTTAAGTGGCTACACTGAGCGACATAAGCTTGTTATCAGCAAAAACTAAGAGTGTCACTTCTGGTTTAATCTATTCTGTGGTATAAGTCTGTTGTGTATACATACATTCATTAATTGAAATTTTATAATCTCTTATACTAAATCTAAATCATTATGTAAAAAAATTACTTTTTAAACATTTTTATTGTTTAAAAAACTTTACTAGCATGCTTAACCCAAAATTAAATCCATATCATTGTATGAGGAAGCTACTTTTTTCTTGTTCTCCCTAAATATTGATTCTATTTAAATAATATGAATTTATGAATTAATACATTTTAAGACGTATACCCTGATTTGAATTTTGGTATACAGCTAAGGAGGTTACAATAAAATTCTATAAAATTTGAATCATAATCTACTCTATTTATTTGAAGACATTGTTTTAGACATAGATATGAAATCACTATTTATGCTAAGGTAAATTCATTGGCCCAATTTGATCAAAAAGTGTGAAGTCTAATTTAATTTCTCCCCACTTCATAAATGTTTCTATGTGTAAAATATATGTAATTTTAATCATTTTTAAAAGGCTATGACAAATTTTGAGGAAGCTAAATTCCCTTCAGATTGTACCTATAAGCAATTTATTTTTTGAAATTTTAAAATAGCCACTTATTTAAACTCTTTCATTATAAAATATTTTGATTATTCAAAAATAACTTTAGAATAAATATTTACAGTAAAAATGGAAAATTTTATATAATTTTTGATACTTGATTGAAACAAATTTCTATGTAACAATTTTTCAAATTTCATATTTTTTTCAGAATATTTTTATAATGAAAAAAAGTTTTGATTTATTTTTGAAATAAGAAAAATCATAGAATGATTATAATAGTAACAATTTATTGTTTTAATTAATTTTAATTAATAATACAATTATTATAATTTTTTAAAAAGGAATTTGACACTTACATTATTTATTGATACTATAAATTGTATGGATTGTTACATAGTCCTTTAGTTTCACCCTGTCCTCAATTTTGTTAACTTACAACTACATATAAGAGTATGTAATAAATAATAAAAATATATTATTAATAACAGTTAATATAAGAATTATAACTATATACTATTAAAACAGTGAATTATATAAATGATTAGGATAATACATAATTCAAACTTAATATCATTATATAATTTCCATTAGTTAAATTCTAAAGGACGGATATTCAATTCTTTTTGTAAATCTTCAATAGACTGTTCCCATCTTTTTTCAAAATAAATATTCAACATAAATTTAGAATTAATTCCTGTTTTTATTGCCCATGGCAAATAGTAATTCATGTATTGTTCCCTTTGTCTTTAATAAGTTAACACATTATTAACAAAAATATAAGAAATTTAATCAAATAAAAATTGCTTTACTTTGACTTAAGACGAACAGCGCCAAAAAGGCCACCACTCATTGTCATGGGTAATTTTGTTTGAAATGCTTCAACCCATTTAACTGTAACTTCTCCTAATAAATAAAGACTAATTATAGCTAACAAAAAGCAATAATAAGCTACAGATTTAATTTTACCTAACATGTTGGTTGGCATGCCTAATATTGTATGAAATAAATCATGCACTTCTCTATATCGTTGCATTACATATGCTAGTTCAACATCATCAATAAACTGAACATAACCTCTAGAGTCTGGAGTAACTTTCTAAAAAAAAATATTATTTATACATATCAACATAATTAAATATTACAATTATTAAAACAACTGAAATTCTTTAATTAAATTCAAAATCAATTAACAGAACTGCTTTTAATTAAAATTCTAGAGATTAATTGGATATATAATTCAAACTTTTCACTATTAAAATTAAAATATACCTTTAGTTAATAATGGTAGAATTCAATCTTTTTAATTAAACAATTATTACTCTATACATGTGTTTTAACCTTTTAAAATATTCTTTATTTAATAAATATAAACCAATAGTTTAACTTCATTATTTTTACTCACATTATCATCTAAAAATTTATAATAAGTAAAACCTAATGAATTTTTAGGCATATTTTGAAGTTTATTCAGATCAATTGTAGATGAGTTGATACGAGGCTGTGATCTAAAAAAAAAAAAAATTTATAAAAATATTGTTCTATCAAAAATTAAATAAAAATATTTTGCTTTTTACAGAGAATCACAAAAAATATAGAGAAAATATTCTATTAAAAATTTTAGTAGATTACAAAAAAATCAATAAATCAATTATTTTGTATTTCACTTCTATTTATAATGCTCTCAGTTATTATTTATTTTAATTTATTGAACTTAAATAAGTGTACTATACATTTTTTAATTAATTAATTAATGTTTTCTAATGAAATATTCACTTGACTCATGTTTAAAATCTAAATGACTCTGTACTACTTAAGTTAAGAACTTGACCATTAGTTATTTAGATATAAAAATTTTAAAAATCTGTTTTATTGTACTTAATTTAAACAAAATCATAAGTTTTTACTGATACAAAAATCTTAGCGATTACATAATTTCAGAAAATTAAAATTAAAATATAAAAAACTATTAACATTTTTTCATTATTACACACTTTCTACATAAGACTTAATATACTTTATCTGTGCACTAAACATTTATACACGTATAAAATTATATAAATAAATAGTAAATTATTAATATTTTATTACTGTAATATTTCAATTCCTTCAGGATTATTAGACATTTTTCTTTTTATATCTTGCAATGCACACATTCCAGTTGTTTCTCCAAAAGTTGCTATCATATCTAATATTTCATTTACATTATTTTTAATTTTTATAAATTGCATTATAAAATATTAATAATATTATATATACTATTAATAATACCAGCTCTACATGGATCAAATAGTGAGATTGTGGCAGAACCAACAGCTAATAACATTTTTTGTATCGGTGTAGTAGAAATATGGTTTTTTTTATATTGATTAGCAAAATCAGACATATATCTTGAATAAGGAGTATTTTTTACAATTTTCTTCCACATATTAAACTATGATTAATCTTAACACCTACAACATTGATTTGAATATTATAAAATTTATTTATAAATTAACTATTTATCTAGCAAAAAGGGAGAAAGCTTTTATTGTACTAAACATCTATATTTTCATGTTCAATTAACTCTCCTCTCCTTAATTAGAAAATCTTAATACCCTCACAACTAATTAATAAGTAAAAGTTCAAAGTTATATTTTACAAGATTATTTTTAACTTAAGTAAAAAATAAATTTATTTGTACGCCTCTATATATTTGTAAATAAATCTCTACAATCATATAAAAAGAGATTTTTTTATTATCTGAAACTATTTAATAAAGCGCAATAATCCCACCCAATGTACTGTATTATCATAGAAAATATTTTTTGTTTGAGGTATGCTATTATCTTATTTTAAAGATTTATTAAGAACTGAGGTTTAGGTGCATTCTGTGTTATCAATTATATTCCTACATCGGATAAAATAATTTTGTTTACATCTTCATTTTCAATTCACAATTATTCCAAAATATTCGATTTTTTCAAAAATGTTTAATTATTTTATTTTTTAATTATCTGTTTATTTTTAAATTCTATCATTTAATGTAATTTAAGATCGATAATTCCTTATTACTTATCGATTAGTTTTGTTATATTATATGAACTCTAGTTACATCACTCAACAAAATTTAACGACTTAATGTTTTTTGTTGTTTTTTTTATATCAAAATAATAAAATTCTGAATTTTTGACTTCATTATGTCGGATAATATGGAAGATGTATGTATAATGATTAAATTTATCCATAATATTATTAAATTGAGAACATGTCTATATAATTTAATATTATTTTATTTTATCATACATGAGTGGCAAAATTATGTTATTTCATCAGTATTTTATTTCTATGAAGTTTATTATTACATTTTTATTTTATCGGTTTTGAAATTAAAATGTAATTTAATTTAAAGTACTTTGGTATTTTTGTCATATATCTAAATAACATTATAGAAATATTTCTTTATAATTAGTAACATTCTTAGGAGAAGATAAAATAGCTTATAGATAACATACTCGGAGAACTATCTCCCACAGTATAAATTAGTGATTTCTTACAAAAATTAATTTTAAAAAAATTTGATTTATTAGTTAATAATTGAAAGATTGAGTAGATTAAAATTCGAACATAGGTTTTATGAACATTTAATTAAATTTTATAAATAGTACACTAGGTGTCCTACTAAGTGACTTACTAATTTGACTATATAAACTAATGTTGAAATTATCAAATCATGGTGGGAAAGGTTCAGTGGAATAATAAGATATTCTGTTTTTTTATTTTCAAAATCAGATTTTGGTGGTTCTAAAACAAAATATAAATAATTTGTTTATCTAAGTATAAAATGATTACAATTATCATTCTGTAAAAATTAAATTTTAAATTTTCTGGCAGTTAAGAAGATATTAAAAAAAATTAATTTTAGAATCTTGAAAAGTTATCAAAAATGTAAATTAACTTATTTTTGCCCTTTTAATTTTAATACAATACAATATATATATATAAGATATATATTATAATATATAAGTTATATATTATAACTATAATACATACCTTTAAGAAATCTGTAAAATATTCTTTTGGTCTTACCTATGATTGTTAGAATGTATATTTTCTAAGTGATATAAGAGAGAAATTCTGAAATCTAAAGGAAAAATAAATACCTTTTAAAGAAAATTTATTTATTTAAAATAAATGTTTATCAGTTATACAGATTTACTTAATGTAAAAACATATTTTGTGTTTTATTTACTCCTTAATACATTTAAAATTTTCTTTTAGAGTCCAAGAGATGCTGGAAATATGTGTCTTGAACTAGCACTAGAAGGTGAGAGATTGTGTAAAGCAGGTGATTGTCGTTCAGGAGTAGCATTTTTTCAAGCTGCTGTTCAAGCAGGGACAAATGATTTGCGGACATTGAGTGCTATTTACAGCCAATTAGGAAATGCATATTTTTATTTAGCAGATTATCCTAAAGCTTTACACTTTCATAAACTTGATTTAGCTTTAGCAAGGTAATTTACTAGAATTAATAGAAAATAGTTTTAAAAATCAAGTTAAATCTCATTAAGAAATGGGATTTCAATGAATAATTCACTCAATAGTTTATTTATTTACCATGAGTGATTATTATGAGATAAAAATAGTGTCAGTGCAGGATACATAAATGATTGCAATGAGATTCTACTAAATAACAATATATATTTTACGTATCATTTCAATAATAACTATTGTAATAATTTTAAAAAATCCAAGTAAAAATTTTCGTCAAAGGATTTGTTGTTAGTTTTCAAATTTCAATGACTCAAAACTCCTATCCATAATTATATCTAATTATATAGTCGTGGACTATTTTTAAGATTTGAATGTTATGAAATAAACTGTATTTATAAATTTTGTTATTCAATTTTTTTTCACTGTAATCTTAGAACACTTGGTGATAAACCAGGTGAAGCAAAGTCTAGTGGAAATCTTGGTAATACATTAAAAGTAATGGGAAATTTTGATGAAGCTATGATATGTTGTAAACGACATCTTGAAATTGCTAGAGAGTTAGAAGACAAAGTAAGTTATTAATTTTTATAAATTTATTATTCTTTTATTGAGATAATAATCAAATAAATTATAATATCTTTAATTTTGTAAAAAATAAATAGGCTTTTGTCAATTTGATAAGCATTTAAAAATTTTAAATTGCCTACATAATATTGCATATGTTATGATCAAAATAATTAAAGATAAGAAAGCTCAACTTTTTTCCTAGAATAGAACAGTTAGTAATCAAGTCTTGGACAAGTGTAATAGTTGTAGTGTATAATCACTGTCCTTATGTATACATATATAAATCTTATTTATATTTAATTTAATCTTAATAGTTAAGCGAAGGAAGAGCTTTATATAATTTGGGAAATGTTTATCACGCTAAAGGTAAACATATTGGTAGAGTTGGACAACAAGATCCAGGAGAATTTCCTGAAGAAGTGAAAGTTTGTATTGAACAAGCAGTTAAATATTACGAGTAAGATAAAAAAATACTTAAATATAGAGTTGAATAATTAATTTAAAATATTTCAATAAATTTAGGGAAAATTTAAAACTGATGAAAGAACTTAATGATCGTGCAGCTGTTGGCCGAGCATGTGGTAATCTAGGTAACACTTATTACCTTTTAGGTAACTTCAAAGAAGCTATACAATATCACGAAGAAGTAACTAATTTATTATAATTCAATTTTATTATTATATAAAATAATTATTAAATTTATAGAGATTAAAAATTGCACGAGAATTTGGAGATAAATCAGCTGAAAGAAGAGCAAACAGTAATTTAGGTAATTCACATGTTTTTCTTGGTGAATTTGAAGAAGCTGCTGACCATTACAAGTAAATCAAAATAATTTTCAAAAATACAATTACTACTATACAGTTATATGTATAATTTTTTAGGAGAACTTTAGTTCTAGCTCAAGAGCTAGAAGACCGAGCAGTTGAAGCTCAAGCATGTTACAGTCTTGGAAATACTTATACATTGTTGAGAGATTATAACACAGCAGTAGATTATCATTTAAGACATCTAGATATAGCTCAAAAATTACATGATCGAATTGGAGAGGGTATTTTTTTATTACGCTTAAAATTTAATAGAAATTTTATTTTTAACTTTGATGCAAAGCTGAAAAGATATTAGTATTACCAGTGTTTTTTTTTTTTTTTTTTTTTATGTCTGAAAATTCACAGCTCTTACTCTAAAAACTTAAATTGTGAATTTGCAAACAAATATTCAAGTTAAAATTTTACAGATTTATAAAAAAAAAATTTTATGATAGTAATATTACATATATTAAATTATGCTAAAATATTTATATAGGAAGAGCTTGTTGGAGCTTGGGAAATGTTAATTTGGCCCTTGGCAATCATGAAAAAGCCTTATACTTTGCTTCTAAGCATTTAGAAATATCCAAAGAAGTAAATAATTTTTTACAAATATTTATCTTATTAGCACTAGGCAATCAAATAATTGAAAGAATTTAAAAGCTTCTTAAATGAATAATTAAATTCATTTTTATCATCTTAAAATGTTTTATTTTCATGTATTTATTTATTTATGACTAGATTGGTGATACAGTCGGTCAAGCAACAGCTCAAATAAATATTGTTGATATTAAAAAATCTTTGGGTTTGTCCAATGGTCAACTTTCACCAGAAAGTAAAGAATTATTAGAAGCTATTTCCAATACCCAACCATCACCTCAATTAAGGCGTTATCGGGTGAGACGTCAAAGCATGGAACAATTAGATTTGCTTAAGGTTTAGTTTTTTTTTTTTTTTTTTTTTTTTTTTTTTTTTTTTTTGGTTTTTTTTTAATATTTAATTTTNNNNTTTTTTTTTTTTTTTTTTTTTTTTTAATTTTTTTTGGTATTATTTTCATAATATAATTGTTTTTTCCTCTCCTTGTTCATGACAAACTGATTAAATTTCTAAATTTTTTAGTCTATTTAATAAGCAACCTATAAGGTTTTCTTTTGGTACTCAAGTAAAGCAGTTACAAGTATACTGAAAAATTATAACTTGCTACTCATTTTCTTCAAATACAAAATATCTGTAGAAAGATAATGTACAATAAATGATATTTATATTTGAATATTTAATTTAGTTACATTGACACGGTACCGTGTTTCCCTCAGCCGCACATCACGTTATCAACCTAAATGAAAGTGTATCGGGATCTGAATCATAAGTGCACGGTGGCCTAGTGTTAAGGTTTGTCTATACGACGCCTTGGGTCNTTAAGGTTTGTCTATATGACGCCTTGGGTCGCGGGTTCTAATCCCGTACCGTGCCTCTTTTTTTCACATGATTTCCGGTACACTTTCTATAACCGGCCGTCAATCCCCAGCGGCCGTGTTAACATCTAAGTTTTTTTATTATAAATGAAAATATACATATATAACTTAATTTTTAAGTTACATTGCTTGGTCAACTTGTGTAGTATATTTAGCTTAGGGAGTGAAATTTCTTTTTGTTTTTTCATTTATATAAAAATAATTTTTTCGGACGAAAATAAGAAGATAAGGTTTGGAAGTATAAATAAATTTATAAATATTTGTTCTCTTTAGTCATAAATGTTTTTTTTTTTTTTTGTATATATATTATTTAAATTATATAAGAATATAAAAATGTTAAACCTAAATTCTTTTTTTCAAATAATACACATTATTTATGATTTATATTTTTACAGTTAACTCCTGATGGCAAAGGAAAAATGAATAATTTGAATGATGATCTACATCAGGCCACATTATCAACAACTAAAAAGGTGTTTTTAATTTATTATCTTACAATAACTAATATTAAACAACAGATAAGCTAAGACTAGTTTTTTTTTATATCATTTAAAAAAGAAGATGAATTAGAGATTAATTTATGTATTCATAATGTTATTAATTAAAATCTACATTTTGTTATGTCTTGTTTTATTTAATAGTTCAGAAAATATGTAAACAAAATGAAATAGTTTTAAGTCATTTAACAAATTTTTTTAGCACAGTAAATATTTTAAATGCTAAATTTTTAAATATTTTTAACATAAAAATCATTAATAGATAATATTAAAATAGACAATTATACTAGGTAGCTAAATAGAACATTTTGTTAAAAGTCAAACTAAAATTTTTTAATATAGCTGTTTAAATAATTATCTTTTTTGTTTTTAGAATGATAAATCTGAAGATGATCCATTTTTTGATTTGTTATCACGATTTCAATCTGGACGAATGGATGATCAACGTTGTACTCTAGGATCTTCAAGAAATTTGGAAGACAAGGAAAATCAAAGCTCTAACAAGCAATCTACTAATTTAGGTAAAAATTTTAAATACTTATATTACTTTGATTTTAATATTGAAACACATAACTTTAAAATAGGAATACACATTGATAGTCAAGATGATTTGTTAGATATGATAGCTGGTATGCAAAGTAAGCGTATGGATGAACAGAGAGTAGAGTTGGAACAACTTCCCGGCATTGCTAAACCAGAAAATGAACAGCAGCCAGATGATAACTTCTTAGAATTATTAATGCGATGTCAAGGAGAAAGGTTAGAAGATCAACGTAGTGAACTCCCTGTTAATAACATAAGTAGTGATGGAGAATCTCAGCGCACACCTAACCGTGGTCCAACAGTACCAGATGAAGATTTTTTTACTCTTATCATGCGTTTACAATCTGGAAGAATGGAAGATCAAAGAGCCAATATAACAATTTCTAAAAAAAGCTCTGATTAGTTGTTCTGTATATTTATTTTTTAAATAAGTATTTTTTTTTTACTAGATTTTCAACTTCATTAGCAGTTTTATAAAAATAATGATTTATTTAAATATTTTACTTAAGTATGATTTTATACTTAAAACTACAGCATTGGTGTTATTTCCTATGTAGTTAACATCCTATACTATATAAATTATTTTTTAGATTGATCATTTATCTAGTGGTTAAGTTTAAATATGATAAACTTGGATATATTTTATTGAAAAGTTAAATTTATTTATATTACTTATAGCTTAGTATTAAAAAAATAAATGTTTATAAAATCAATTAATATTAATCTGATCCTATAGTATTAAATTATGTTATTAACTTTAAGCAGAATACAATATATTTCTAAATTGTATTCTTTATTATATAAATTTAAACATAATTTTTAATATACTTAACAAAACCTGTACTATTTTTAAAACTTATATTTATTTTTTTATTTACAAAATAAAGCCTTGGCAACAAGGGCTATTGGCTACTACATTTAAATACATTTTATAGAATGGAAAGAATTAATACTGTTAATTTGTTTGATTTTTAACAAATAATTAATAATGAAATGCATTAACCCATCAACGCCGAGAATTATTTTTTTTCAAACTTTCTATTTTTTTTACTAAAAACAGATTAATATACAACACAAAAATAAAAAAAATTATTTTTAAATTTTTTGAAAATACGATTTCTGAGATATTGAGTGTCACCATATGGGTACACTCGGCTTTTACCTATTAAATTATTATTCTAAGAACGCGCGATAAAAATAGCAATACGAATGTCACCATATGGGGACGCCAGGCGTTGATGGGTTAAGTACATGAATTTTAATTAAAGTACGCAAAATTATACACCAAGCTCTGATTTCTAAAATCAACTATTTATTAGTAGTTTTAAAATATTATTTTAAAAATACATAATGTAAAAATAATTATTTACATTAATTCAGCATAAAATTAATCTAGTCAAAGAAATAATACATTTCTTATTAGTAAAAGTATTGTAACTCGATTTAAAATTTTATTTTATAATTAAATTTTTATGATAACTGAACAAAATCTAGAATAATAAAATGTTATTTGAAAACCATTCTTATTGCGTGTGAATATTTTGAGTACCACATATAACTAGTTGCTGCAGCTAAACCATACCTGAAAAAATTCAATATTAATAATTTAGTATATATTAAATGTACAAAATTTCCATTCTATTTAGAAATAAAGATATATAATAATATGCAATTATGAATGTTCATCTATAAAATTAAAAAGGTTTAAAAGTATATTTATTTTTGGATATGATTTAAAACCATAACTAACATTTAAGCAATTTACTACCCTCAAAAATAATTCATTAAAAAAGAATACTACTTGAGCTAGGTAATCTAAATTAAAATTTTTTAAATGTATTATAAGTAAAAAAAAAAGTTTTATTCGTTATAAATTTATAATAATTTATAAGTGGGGAAATTATGACACAATAGGCTGTAAAAAATAGCAGACATCCATGATAATACAAGTATGGTAATAATTCTCCCTGGGAGCTATTCAATGGGTTGGTTATGAAAAAAAATTTTCTGATAACTATTTGACATAATAAATAAATAGATTTAAGTAACTTAAACTTCTTGGCTGAGATGGTAAAATAATATTTTTTTGTAACATAATACTATACTTTAATGGAAAATCTATACGGTAAAAAAGTAAAAAATTTCAACAATTCAATATTATTGATAAACCCTAGTAGAAATGTCATTAAAACTTGGTTACTATTTAAAAAATATATATTTTTGAATCATTATTTTTATACTAACCATGTTATGATATATGAAAGATGTTCATTCCTCAAAGATATGTTAGTTTGACCACCAAGTGGTCCACCAGGCACATTATTTTCACTAACTACATCAATTAAAATAGGTTCTGACTGAACTAATTTTGACATAGCATTTAAATCCCTAAAAACATAAAGTTTAAATAACTAATTAAATGTCAAAATAATCATGTTAATAAGTTATGAGAAGTGACTAATGAAGATACGTCAGAAAAAAGAAAAAAATTTTAAGACTGTAAAATAGAGGACATACAATGTGTAATATAGTTGCTAGTTGTGTAAAGAATACTCCAAAGGAAATTGTGGGTGAGAATAGGAAACAAGAAAACCTGGTGGTGAGATGAGGACGTTCAGAAAATTTTAGAGAGTAAAAAAAAACAGTTCAAAATATGGCATAAGAGCAAAAGAAGAGAAGATTGGATGAAGTATAAATGCTTGAGCAAAGAAGACAAGTGTGTGGTAAGTAAGGTGAAGTTTAAAAGATATGATAAGTTGTATGATAGGCTAGGACTAAAAAAAGGTCTAAAAATGTAAGGTATACAAAAAGTGAGGTAAGAGGATGCTAACAAGCAATGATAATGTGAAAAAAAGATGACAAGATTATTTTAAAAAAATTACTAAATGAAGAAGAATATCCAAAAAAGACATTAGAGGATATTTAATGAAACAAAGGATAAGTAGATTTAATTAGTGAGAAAGAGTTAAGGGAGGCTGTAGCATCAATGAAAAATAATAAAGCAGTAAGACCAGATGAAATGCCAGTAGAAGTATGGAAAATATTAGGCGGTATTGGCATAGGTAGTTGAAGGATATTTTTAATAAAATCTTATGAGAAGAAAAAATAGAATGGAGAAAAGATTGGAGGAATAGTATTGTGGTATCAATATTTAAAAGCAAAGGAGACATACAAGATGTAAAATCAAAGGCATAAAGCTTATGAGCCATAGTATGAAAATTTGTGAAAAGGTAATAGATAAGATAATAGGAAATGAGACGTCAATATCTAAATAGCAGTTTGGATTTATGCTTGGAAAGTTAACGATGGAGCAATTTTTTTTGTGTAGATAACTAATAGAAAAATATAACAAAAAGAAGAAAAAGTTGTGTATGGTATTTATAGATTTGAAGAGAGCATATGATAGAGTAGTAGAAGAGGTTTTAAAGTGGACATTAATGAGAAAAATAGTCTCAATAAGGTACATATATATAATAGAAAATATATGTTATGGAAAAAAATTTCGGCCATTATTTTGTTTTTATTGTGAAAACGGACATCAGTTGATAAAAAAAATTTGATTTTTATAAAAAAATTCTTTTTTATATTTTCAATTATATAATGCTATAAGTTTTTGAAAAATATATGGTTCTATACAATTATTTTATGATAAATACTACTTATATACCTTATTCATTCAGTATACTTTTTTTTAAATAAAACCATATTCCTTTATATATTTGTTCATATATTACACTTATAACTATTAGTTATAAGTTATACTACTGCTTTACAATAATATATTTACCCAAAAATGTATATGGGAGTTTAGCCACATGCAAACTACTCCTATGATTATAATAATTAAAAATATAAGCTAAACAGTAAAAACCCAGCACAGTAGGGATGTGGCATAGTTGGGTGAAGTATAATGATACCTAACAGTGATTAAAATCTCTATCATAAAAAACGCTTAGATGCAAAAATTATAAAATATATTATCCGTAAATTATATTTTTAAACCTAAGAACTACTAATCAGAATATAATTAAGGGAATAGGAGTTCATGTTGCTTTTATAATTATGCACCGATTTTTTAGAATTAAACACTATCTACAGATTTGCATCTAAATGTTTTTTATGATAGTGATTTTAATCACCATTAGGTATCATTATACTTGACCCAACTATGCTACGTCCCCACTGTGCTGGGTTTTTACTGTTTAGCTTATATTTTTAATTATTATAATCATAGGAGTAGTTTGCATGTGGCTAAACTCCCATATACATTTTTGGGTAAATATATTATTGTAAAGCAGTAGTATAACTTTTAGATTAAAAGTTATTAATCATAAACTCTCCAATTTATTTATAAAAAAAAAATATTCGCCGATATAGAGTTAATACTCAAAAATAAAAGTATTTAATTTTGAAAAATCTAAAATTTTTAGATTTCATTTTTAATAAAAATGGTTTAATTAATAAATAAATGATTTTTAATTTTCTTTTAGACAGCTGATAAAAAGAAATTTTATAATATTAAATACTTATATAAACCAAGCAAGTATTTTAAGTTAAAAATTATAACCTGTAGGAAAAGAAATGAGAATCTGCAACATTTTTAGTAACAAATTGAGGTCTGGGTTCATTTAAACGTACTATTCCCTCTAATTCAACTTCACCTGACACTTGACCAGACATCCGTGATGTAGAGTTTTTATTTTGCATTGAAACCCAACCACGATTAACTAAAATCGTTAATCTAAAATAAGAGAATGTTTAATTTATGTTGAATATAATATAGAATTCACTTACGGTTTGTCAGAAAGTTTAAATGGTGTGATTACATTATAACCACTTTGAGTATATCCAGATACAGAAAATAAACCACTTCCACTACTGGATCCTCCATCAACTAAACAAGATCTAGGACCCAAAAATATTTCTTTTGAATGATCAAACTCACCTTTAACTTTTATTCGACAATACTCAAGATTTTTAATATCTTCAATACTAATAAAATAAAAACATAAACTTTTCATATAGTTATAATTGAATTACTTTCAATTACTCTTCAGGAAAATCAATAGCTGGTAATGTAGTTTTTGTTTTAAGCTCATCTATAAGACTTTCTTTCCATATTTTGCGTTTAATTTGCCATGTACCAAGCCCAAAAGCAGATATTGGAATTACCTAATAAATTTGAGTTCTATAAGTTATGTTGAATAATAAAAACTAAATGATTGCATTAAACAATTACAAAACTCTTACTAATAAAATCCAACCTATATCATTATTATTTTTTCTTCTACTAAATGAATTCAATTTTAATGATGTTTTGGAACTTGCACAATACTTTGTAATAACAGTGTTCTGAATCATAACAATAGTAAAGTAAAAATGAATATAAACAAAAAAAAAACTTTAAACTTACAATTAATTTTAACTCAATCATTTTTTTTGGATAAAAATTTAAAAAAATCTTTCTTTTTAACATAGTTACTCAGTATAGATTTTTTTAATTTATATATTGAAACGCTCTTTTACAGAAAATTATGAATAGAGGAATTATTGCATAATATGTAACTACAGTTAATTTATTAGTTATTAATTTGATAGTTCTAATTTATTTTTCAATTAGAATTTAAAACACATAAAAAAATATGCATGATGCTAACTGTATTTCCAAATGTCTGTGAAAATCATAGATATAAATCAAAATCCATATTGATAGCTGGGTTAGGTGAGGTAACTTTGTTCCATAAATTTCTAGTCCCAATTAACATTTGTTCAAACAAATTTTTAGAATAAAAGTTCAATAAATTAAAGAAGACTTAGAAAAAATAGTCTTTGGAACAAATAGATCATGAATAAAAAGATAAATGTAAATTAATAAATTTGGAACAAATATTTTTGAAATAAAAAAATTTTAGACAAATGTTATTTTGTACAAATTAGTAATGGAAAAAAGTAAAAATTTTAATTGGACCTAGTTAATTAAAGACATTTGTTTCAATAAATATGAAATTCAAGTTATATTTATTCTAAAAATATTAAATAATAATAATAATAATCAAAATATCTTACCTGTTCTTCAATTATAAATTTTATTTCTCTTTTGTCGAGCACGTTATAAATTTCTTTCCAAGAAATGTCATCGTGAGTTTCTTGCTCGCTCTGAATTAAACCTTAAACTTAATCCATATTCCTTTTGGAAATTTGTGCGTAAGCATCGTTCTTCTTTATTTATTCCCCGAAATTTGTCCTATGAAGGCTCTACTAGTAAAAACCTATAGAAACAGCTAATCTCTTCTCCAAATACTTTTCTTCTGTTTATACCCCGGTCTCTGTCACTCCCTCTCCTATTAGTCCTTCCCATTTTCAGTTTTCTCTTCTTTCCAGCATACATGTGTCCATAATTGAGTTACACAAATCATTTAATTCTCTCCGTAACATAAAATCTCTCGGTCTTGATGGCCTTCAGGGTGATTATTTATTTAAATTATGAGACGGGGAAATCCCCCAAAAAATTACAAATTTAAAAATCTCTAATTTTCGACATTTTTTCAATTTTTTTACTAAAAACTGGCATAAATTTTTCAAAAATGTACATATCAATATATTTTTTTTATAGATATCTTAGATATTTACCTATCTTTTGATATATTTATGAGAACATTTGACCCCTTACACCAAAGTTAAAAAAAATGTAAGATTTCCGTGAAGAAGTTCTTGATTTTACATTTTTTATTGCAATTTATATTGCTATAACTTTTGGAAAAATGTATGGATCAATATTATTATTTTTTTATAAATAATTTTTATATACCTCTTTCATCTGCCACACTTTTTTTTTAAATAGGATCATATCCCTTTATATAAGGTGGGTCAAAACTTTTAACATGCGTATTTAAACTATGCGTATTAAAAGGACATTTTAAATTAATTTTGGAAAGTGTTCCGGAAATACTGACACTTTTATATATACCTTAAATTAAAGTAATATACTTTAATTTGAAAAAAAAAATTTACCTCTGGATTTGTCTTCATGGTGAAAATGACTACCGTATTTAAAAATATGCTATTTTTGTGTTAAAATTCTGGGATTTGTATTATATTTTATTTTAAAATACGCGATAAAAATAAAGAAATAGACAACTACTTTATTATTTTTATAATATCTCCATAAAAATTACAATATTAAATTATTGAATATCAATTTCATACTCAATTTAATTATTATAATTATTATTTATTCATATATTATAATTATAAATCAAATAACTAATCGGGATAAAATTAAGAGAATAAGAGTTATTGTTGCTTTTGAAATAATCTACCAATTACTTAAAATTAAACACTATCTACAGATTTGTCCCGTCGTCCAAACCACGAGCCGCCACTATTGGTCTTAGTGATTTTAGCCCTGTAATTTCTCAATAATAATAAATAGCTGCTAATGAAAAGGATTAATAGCAGTGACTGCAATTTTATTTATCAATATTATTACTTTTCTAACCTCATTTTAACTACGACAAATTACTAGGTTAGATTTAATGTTTTTTATTTAATTAGATTGACTATTAGAACTCTTTTCCTTCTTCTTCTTCTTCCTCGCCTTCATCCCAACTACTTGGGGTCGGCCACCCTTATCTTAAATTTCCACTTGACACGATCTCCCACATCATTTACGCTCACATCAGTTGTCCTCAAATCGCATTCAATAGCATCCTTCCATCTCTTGTTTGGTCTTCCTCTACCTCTTCTTCCTTCAACATTAATTTCTATAACTGTTCTTACAGCTTCCGATTCTGCTCTTCTCATAACATGACCAAACCATCTAAGTCTATTTTCTCTCATCTTATCCACGATTGACGCTATACCTATTATATTCTATCTTTTCTAGTCACTCCACTCATCCATCTAAGCATTCTCATCTCTACTACACTCATGAACCATACATCATCGCTGGTCTTATTACAGTCTTGTAGAATTTACCTTTCAGCCTCATTGCAATTCTTTTATCACATAAGACGCCAGACGCTTCTCTCCACTTCAACCACCCGCACTTAATCCTATGTCTTACATCCTCGTCAATACCACCACTCTCTTGCACAAATGACCCTAAATACTTAAAACTCTCCATCTCTCCAATCACGTCCTCGCTTATTGTCACTGACCTCCTCATTATACCTATCTCGTGTTCTCCTTTGTTACTCTATAACTCGCACTCTTTATACTCTGTCTTACTTCTACTTATTCTTAAACCATTTTCTTCGAGAGCTGATCTCCACAACCTCTAGCCTTTGATTAATTTCCTGCCTATTATCTCCTATTAACACTATATCGTCAACAAACAACATGCACCACGGCACCTCTCCTTGTATTTCTCTTGTAATTTCATCCATCACTATAGAGAATAAGTAAGGGCTTAAAGCAGAATCTTAGTGCACTCCTACTCTTACCCGAAAACCTTCTGATATCCCTCCTACGCTTTTTACCCTGGTACAAGTGCCATCATACAGATCTTCTATTATATTAATGTACCTTTTTGGGACTCCTTTTCTCATTAATGCCCACTTTAAAACCTCCCTCGGTACTCTGTCATGCGCTTTCTCCAAATCTATAGTATTTATAGATAAAGCTTTTTTTCCCCTAAACTTTTCTATTAGTTGCCTCACACAAAATACTGGCTCCATTGTCGACTTACCGGGCATAAATCCAATTGGTTTTTAAATACCAATTGGTATCTCATTTCTTATTTTCTTTAATATTACCTTTTCCCAAATTTTTATACCATGACTCATAAGCTATATGCCTTTATAATTTTCACACTTCTATGTATGTCACATTTACCTTTAAATATTAGCACCACAATACTATTCCTCTATTCATTTGGAATTTTCCCTTCTAATAAGATTTCATTTAAAAGTTCCTTCAACCACCTTATGCCAATATCGCCTAATATTTTCCATACTTCTACTGGCACTGCATATGGTCCTACTGCTTTATTCTTTTTCATTGATGCTACAGCCTCCCATACCTCTTTTTCACTAAATCTACCAGTCCCTTATTCCACGAGATATCATCTAATGTTTCTTTTGGGTACTCCTCATTCAATAATTTTTCAAAATACTCCTTCCACCTTTTTTTCACATCATCATCACTCGAGAGTACCTTATTATCAACACTTTTTATACACCTTATATAATGATAATCTTTAGACCTTTTCTCTCTTATCTTTGCAAGTCTATAGATTTCTTTCTCGTCTTCCTTTGTTCCTAGCCTATCATACAACTCATCGTACCTCTTAAACTTCGCCTTACTTACTGCACACTTGGCTTCTTTGCACAAGCGTTTAAACTTCATCCAATCTTCACTCCTTTTGCTCTTCTGCCATACTTTGAATTGTTTTTTCTTACTTTCTATGATTTTTTGAATGTCCTCATTCCACCACCAGGTTTTCTTGTTTCCTGGCATTCTACTCTCATTCTCACCAACAATCTCCTTTGCAGTATTCTTTACACAGCTAGCAAATCTATTCCACACATCATTTATGTTTCTCGACATTCCACTCCGTCCTCTCTTTTTCATTTTCCACCACCGGATCTTCGATTTTTCCCCTGTGTGTTCTTCTATTTTTGTTTATTCTCTTTCCGGTACACCACAACTCCATTACCATTAGTCTATGTTGTGTAGTTACACTCTCGTCTGGTATAATTTTACAATGTTTTACTCGCTTTACGCTCTCTCTCTTCCACATAAAATAATCCATCTGTGGTCTATTCCTCCCACTTATATGTTATATAATGGTCTTTCCTCTTTCTAAAATAAGTATTAACCACAACAAAATATAGTATTTAAATATAATTATATTCGTCGTGTGGGTGTTTTATTACCCATCACCGACAACTGCGAGAACACTTATAGTCAACTTTTTTTTTATTTGAGTACTATCTACATAGTAAGGTATAATAAGAAAATAGTCAAAATTAAATTTTTTTTTTTACAGTGTTTTCGTGTGTAGCTATTGTTCCAAGATGATTCTCATTTTGATGACTTTCAGCTTTGGTCAGATCTAATCAATCTTGATTAAGAAATAGTGTCGGTCTGGAACCTTGGAAATGATCCCGGAGGCAATTTTTCTTAATGACCTTCAGACAATTTTCTCAGTGGTCCAGCGAGAAAAAAAAATATCAAATTTAATGAGGGCGTCCTGAGCCAGCCCGACACTGCGAAAAGATGATTATTTTGTTAATGTTTTTATCTCGTTAACTTAACGTATATCCTACAAATACAAATGTATTGTTTTATAAATACAAAATGAAGTTTTTTTAAAAATTGTAATTTATTTTATACGTACTTTTTAAAATATGTAAGCATATTCCTAAAAAATAAAAATCACATAATAAAATAATACACTATATTTTTAGCTTCGATGCAAAGCTGAGAAGGTATTGGTTTTACTATAATGTGTTTTTTTTTTTGTATCTGTTACACCACTTTTTCTCAGCTATCACCGAACCGATTTCTTTCAACGATACGTTAAAAGATCACAAATCGTATCTAGTCGAAGACATTACCTTCAAAAATTAAAAAAAAATTCCCTTGTTCCACGTAAATGGGGGAACCTCCAAAAAAATTACAAATTTAAAAATCCCTAATTTTCGAAATGTTTTCAATTTTCTTTACTTAAAACTGCCATAACTTTTTTAAAAATGAACAAATCAATATAATTTTTATTTATATATGCTTAAGGTCTTTACCTATCATTTCGTATATTTTTTTTTATAAATCTGACCCTTTACCTACCCACAGGGGGAGATTTAAAATGACAACTTTTTCACAAAAAATTAACTTTTTCAACTTAATTTTTGAAAGTGTTCCGGAAAGTCTGACACTTTTATATATATCTTAAATTAAAGCTAATGTATGTACTTTATTATTGAAAAAAAAATTTCGGACTTTATTCTGTCTTCACGATGAAAATGGCTACCAAATGCTATTTTTATGTGAAAATTCACGATTTTATTTTTTACATATTTAACACTGTTGATCCATACATTTTTCAATAAATTATTTATTGAAAAATGTATGGATCAACACAATTATTTATGAAAAATAATATTTATATCCCTTTTTCATTCGACATACTTTATCTTAATCAATATATAAATAAGGAAATAGCAGATCATGTAGCTTTAGGAATAATCCACCAATTTTAAGATTAAACACTATCTAAGATTTGCATCGAAGCGTTTTTTATGATAGTGAATCACTGTCAGATATCATTATACTTGATCCAACTATGCCACGTCACCACTGTGCCGCGACCCCCTGTCCAGGGGTTTTTAACACGCTTTTATTAGTTTCACGTGGTGTATGTTTGTTGTTTGTTTGTAAGTTTGTAACTCTCCAAACGCCACGCGTTATCGCATATTCCGTTGTCTAGACTAGACTGTTATACGCATTCACCCCTCCCCACGCCTCGCTCAAAATACGGCGGTACACTATTCCTATAAAAATTTATTTTTAGTTATCGTACCCGTACACGCGTGCTTGTCATCAATATTATATATATGTAAACAAATTTTTATTTTGACTGACCAATAACGCCCGCGTCTAATGCGCCTTACGTATATATATATATATTCCTACCGCCGTTTATACCTCGGGTATAACGTTAGTCCGACCCGCCCGGCCATAAAACACAGCTATACTTAGTGCATGATACTTTTACGTAGTTAAGTCGCATTATTTGTATAAATATATATATTCTAATTACTATTAAAATTAATATATTAACACGATTTATTCTAATTAAGAGATATAAAGTATTCATTCCGATTACGAGGGATGATTTCCGTATCGTCATTTTTCGTCACTACCTCCACGTTCCGGGAGTGAGTAATTTACGCGCCTGCTGCTTTCCTTGGATGTGGTAGCCGTTTCTCAGACTCCCTCCCCAGAATCGAACCCTGATTTCCCGTTACCCGTAACAACCATGATATTGATAGTAACTACTATCATAACATGAAACTAAAAAGTAAAAAATAAATATAGTTTAAAAAACTAAAAAAACACGCTTTTAAAGTACATCGAACTAAAAAGTTAAAAATAATTTTTAAAATAATTATGAACAAAAAATACTAGTATTATTGTGATAAAAGCGTGGGTGCTTTGTGCCATATTTTTCGTATATTGAGCGCCCGACGCTTTTATCACAATAATACTAGTATTTTTTGTTCATAATTATTTTAAAAATTATTTTTAACTTTTTAGTTCGATGTACTTTAAAAGCGTGTTTTTTTAGTTTTTTAAACTATATTTATTTTTTACTTTTTAGTTTCATGTTATGATAGTAGTTACTATCAATATCATGGTTGTTACGGGTAACGGGAAATCAGGGTTCGATTCTGGGGAGGGAGTCTGAGAAACGGCTACCACATCCAAGGAAAGCAGCAGGCGCGTAAATTACTCACTCCCGGAACGTGGAGGTAGTGACGAAAAATGACGATACGGAAATCATCCCTCGTAATCGGAATGAATACTTTATATCTCTTAATTAGAATAAATCGTGTTAATATATTAATTTTAATAGTAATTAGAATATATATATTTATACAAATAATGCGACTTAACTACGTAAAAGTATCATGCACTAAGTATAGCTGTGTTTTATGGCCGGGCGGGTCGGACTAACGTTATACCCGAGGTATAAACGGCGGTAGGAATATATATATATATACGTAAGGCGCATTAGACGCGGGCGTTATTGGTCAGTCAAAATAAAAATTTGTTTACATATATATAATATTGATGACAAGCACGCGTGTACGGGTACGATAACTAAAAATAAATTTTTATAGGAATAGTGTACCGTCGTATTGTGAGCGAGGCGTGGGGAGGGGTGAATGCGTATAACAGTCTAGTCTAGACAACGGAATATGCGATAACGCGTGGCGTTTGGAGAGTTACAAA